ACCCGGAAGCGAAACGGAGGAGCTTCCGTTCTTTGTTCTGTCCCTGGTGTGTGGGTCTGTGACAGTGTCCAGCGGGGCCTGGTCCGTGTCCGGACGCCCCAAGTCTTTCGTCCCTGTCTCCAGGGTGAGTCCGGCCGCCCTCGGGGCCCGCGGTGAGGCGGAGGCGGTGGTCGCCGGGGAAGGGCGTGGTGTCCGCGCCGCTGCGGCCCGTGGGGTCCCCGAGCCCGCCCGGAGCAGGGTGCTGAGGGCGCCGGTCCCCGACGCCGCTTCCCCGGGGACGCCCTTCCCCTGGGCGATACCCGGCAAGGGAGGGGAGGAAGGGGCTGCGGTTCTGACCTAGCGCCCCGCTCGAGCGCTTCAAGGTCCGCTGTGGCTGTAGGAGGGTCCCTGCCTTTAAATCGCTGATGACAGCGACGCTCACTTGGCAGTTCTCCGAGACGCTTTTCGTGGAGGTCTGCACCGTTCTTCGTGCCTGCGGCAGGAGAGGAGGTCTGATTTCACTTCCCTGGGTTTTAGGGTTAGAGAACGAGTTCTTCGAAGGGTGTGCATCGTTAGAACTAGGTCTGGGAGCGAGTGCAGACTCCGATTATGGGCGTCATCCTCTGGCGTCCTGTAAGTCGAGTCTTTTATGGTGAGTCGTACCACTGTTTAGCCCCCATTTGCAACTGTATTGGATACGCTTTTGACGTGGGATGGAACAGATCCGGTGTTTACACTCGGAAGGGCATGTGTAAACTTCCAGAGGACGATAGATGCACGTGAAACTTAGGAGGGACTAATTAGAGAAACTATAGGTATTTATCCCCAAGAAGAGATGTTTGTGGAGAGTGGGCATCATTCGGTTTTGAACAATTGGGTGGAAGAAGATTCTATTGCTGAAGCTCCACGGGGCACGAGGCCTCTGTAAGGTGAAGGTCCAAGGGCTTGGGTTTTCAGCTTACCAGCTGGTGGCTAAGCTGTGCAGGAGTGGAACAGAAGGCGCCCTTGCTGAAGTATTGAGAGTATCTAGCAAGTTAGCTGACAACGTTAGGAACTTTAGGAGACGTTCCTCACACTGAATGGGAGGTAGACCTGGAGAACTTTCAGTTCCCTTTCCACTTTCTTCAGCCTGCAACACAAATACCAGTTGTGGTCTTAATTAGTATATTTTTAGCATGCATCTCTTTCCCCCCCTTATCTGTAAATACCTAGATTAGAAGTGGAGTTTATGTGAGTGTTTAAAATTCTTTTTTTCTTTTTTCCCCTTAATCGTACAGCATTGGCATCACCTAAAGTCAGAATTCCCAGGAACTTGAGCAGAAGCTCCCAGTAATTGCTGCAGAGAGATAACTCCAAAGAAGGTGGGAAAGAATACAGCAGGTAAAGCTCTCCATGGCTCGTTTTCACCACCAGGTCACCTTTCTCAGTTCCCAGAAGCAGCTCCAGGGAGAGGAGTTGGCAGTGGAGCAGGGAAGGGCCCTGCCTGCACCTGAAGCTGTGGGAGCACAATGGAGATTTCTTTTTTTTCCTCTGTGAGAAGCATTGTTTACTGCTCTAGACACTGGGGACTTGTTCTCAACAATATGCCTTTGAGCTCCAGCTTTGGTTAACCCAGCTGTGAGAAGGGAGCATTTTCTCTCTGGAGTCAGAGCCTCTGATTTTCTTTCTAAGGAGGGTTTGGACGGAGAGCTGGTTTACTGGGGATGTGTGCTTATAAACAGTCCTGGAAATTGTAAAGTTGGTTGATAGGAACAAAGAGATGGCTGGCTCTGAGACATTGTTTAAAGGGACCTGGCTGGGAGAGTGTTAGTGGTAAGAGGGTAGTTATCCACCTTGAGCTGGTGAGCCTGCCTTATACCTGATTCAATGCTTTCCAGCCTGACTGGTGTGGATCAGTGGTTGAGCGTGGACCTATGAACTGGGAGGTCAGGACCCATGCCAGATTGTAGGGGCGTGCAGGTTTCTCTCATCATTGATGTTTCTATATCTCCCTCTTCCTTCCTCTCTGAAATCAATAAAAATACATATTTTTTAAAAATGCTTTTCACTGTGTAATGGTGTTGGTAGTGAGCATTTTATACCCCTTTGTTGCCCAAAAACTAGAGTTCTCTGAACTCTCAGTGGCTCTTAGACCGGGCCCCCCCCCCTTTTTAAAAAAAATATATTTTATTGATTTTTCTTTTACAGAGAGGAAGGAAGAGGGATAGAGAGAAACATCGATGAGACAGAAACATTGATCAGCTGCCTCCTGCACACCCCCTACTGGGTATGTGCCCGCAACCAAGGAACATGCCCTTGACCAGAATCGAACCTGGGACCCTTCAGTCCGCAGGCCGACGCTCTATCCACTAAGCCAAACCGGTTAGGGCGGGCCCCTCCTCTTTTTATGCCTATGTGAATGCAGCAGTCTGTGATGATACAGCAAATATTGTTCCTGGCTTTTTACTCCTTATAATAGAGCTTTGCAATATAGTTGGCACTCAGCTTTGTTGTTATATGAGCAAATAAGTAAAGGGGAGGGGTGTAAACAAAATCCAGAGTGTTGTGTGTGTTTTTTCCTTGCTTGAGGATAAGGATGCTCGGGTGGCTACTGCATCTATTCTAGATCTGTTTATTTATTTGAAAGAGACAGAGGAAGGGGGAAGGGGAGAAACATTGATTTGTTGTTCCACTTATTTATACATTTATTGGTTGCTTCTTGTATGTGCCCTAACCGTGGATCGAACATGCAACCTTGGTGTATTAGGATGGCATTCTAACTCACTGAGCGACCCGGTCAGGGTCTAGATCTGTTGATTCTTGCCACTGTATTCAGTGAAGTGGAAACTTTTACCTGAGGTCACACCTTAGATTAGGTGTTAATGTTACTTTTTATTCACTAGGGCCAGAGAAAAGATCTATTTTGCTTGTTGTAGTATCTGCATATTGGGGACATTAGTAGGGATAAAAACAGAATAATCAGTAATCGTATTTTTAAAAAAGTATTGGTCCCTGCTTCAGGGATTTATATTCTGACCCAAGGAAATGTATTAGGAGAGAAGGGAGATAAAAAGAAAGTTGGCTGCTACCTTCTCAGTGAGAGGAAACAGCAACTAGGACTAGTCTTTTACTTACTTACTAGTGGCCCGGTGCACGGATTCGTGCACATTGAAAGGAAATTAATTAGAAGAAATGTTTCAATATCGCTATTCGCCCTTTCTCTATAATAGAAGTGTCAACCAAATTCACAATTGGCAATGACAGATCAAAACACACATGTGATTGGTGCCAGCTAGAGCTTTATATGTATTGTGCATGCGTGAGTCACCTTAGCCTTTTACATATATAATAATAAAAGTGTAATATGCTAATTAGACTGGACAGCTGAACGACCTTCCAGATGTCATTCTGGACATCCTTCCTGACAAAGCTGGGGGCATGGCCAGCCTGCAAACTGCCAACGTCCCTTTGTCCAGGCTGGCCCCATCCCCTAGAATGTCCTGGGCTAAAGAAACTGTAAGGAGGCTAGTCGTCACTGGGGAGAGGAAGCCAGGCATTGCTATGTGATGCTATTACCTGGACAGTTCGACACTTAACATATTAGCCTTTTATATATGTAGATTTTTATTATTATTTTTAAAATATATTTTATTGAATTTTTACAGACAGGAAGGGAGAGGGATAGAGACTTAGAAACATCGATCAGCTGCCTCTTGCACACCCCCTACTGGGGATGTGCCCACAACCAAGGTAC